TTGGCCCTCCAACCCTGGGCGCGGCGCAAAGACGTGGCCGCAGCCCAGGTCCGCGTGGGACGCCGCCCCGCTGGGACTCCGCAGAAGGGCGCAGGCACGCGGCGGCAGCGGCGCGCTCGGCAGCACCCCGCAGAGCGGGGGCTGACGCCCTGGTCTGCGCAGGACGCCGCCCCGCTGGGGCCCGAGGGGCGCAGGAAGGCGGGGGCAGCCGCACCCTTTAGTGGAATTAGGTGGACCACACGGGACGAAGGAGGGATGAAGGGGACGCGGTATAGCAGATGCGTACATATATGTATACATATGTCTATATATATATATACACACGTACGTGCTTTTATCCATACATATATATATAGAGAGAGAGATACAGAGAGAAAGAAAGAGAAAGAGAGACAGCAACCGAGACAGAGGAAGAGAGAGAGAGAGAGAGACAGCGAGAGAACGAGAGAGAGAGAGAGGGAGATCCCCAACCTGCGACCCCCCAAAAACGCTCCAACAATGAAGCCGCAGAACCAGTCGCTGCACGAAGCTGCATAGACGCCAGTCGCTTCGCTTACCTGCTTTGGTTCTTGCACAAACCATTATTTAGCTTGTGATGCTGGCTGGCGAACGGCTCACTACAAGCATCCTCACATATTTCTTGTTCAAAAGGCTTTTTGTGCCTCACTAGAAACTCCTTGCCAGAAGGTCCCCCCACTCAGTATTCCGGACCACGAAGGGATCCTTACGAAGGATCCCATATTTAAGGCCGTCTGACGGAGGAGCCCATCATGCAATGATACTTGCATCAGGAAAACGCAATGTTAAGGGTTCCATGCTGAAGAGGCGGGCCCTCGGTGACACGAAAAACTGGGTATGCTTGGTGTGTGCTGTTTGTGCCTTTGGGGTTATGAAGCAAGTGAACTTTTTTTGCTCGGTGTTTTGACATTCGGCGGAAAGGGGGGGGAGGGGGGGTCTGGCTCCAGACCTCTGCTTAATGCGACTGTTTGCAGCGGTGCGACCTGTGGGGGAGACACCACCCACTCGAAGCAGGCGCCAAAAAACAGTCAAGACCTACTCCATTGGTGGGGGGTGCGAGGGTCCGCGCCGATCGGCAAAACAATGACAAAAAAACGGTCACCGAGGAACGCAGTGTCGTGTGTTTTGCTATTTGTTGGGCGCTAGGTGCTCACCGCGCCCCCCCCCCCCCCAGCACGCTTCCCTGCGCTCTCATAGCAACAGCAACCAAGCACACACAGTGTCTGGCGCCCTCGATGCTACGACACGCTGTGCATGCGTATTGTTTGTGTGTGAGAGAGAGGGTACATGTGCTTTGTCTGCTGAGTTGCTGGGGGGGATGGGGAGCAACGACACATGGTGTATGTGTTTTGCTTGGCTTTGAAACCTCATGTGCTCACCGCGATCTCCCCCCACCCCCATCCCCCCGAGCTTCTAGACCGAGTCACGAACACCAGACGTATTTTGTTTCGCTGCTCCCCATACCCTCCTCCACGCACACACACGCACAACACACAACACCACGCAGCGTTTCGTTAAACCGCGGGCGCCAGACACTCTGTATGCTTGTTTCTTCTCTCTGGCCCTGGAACTTCAAAAAGGGGGAGGCGGAGGGGAGAGAGGGGGGGAGGATGAGGAGGAGGATGAGGCGCAGGAGGGGGAGCGCGAGGAGGAGGAGGAGGAGGAAGAGGAGGAAAGGGGGCAAGGACGAGGGAGGAGGGGGGGCGGTGAGCACGTGAACATAAGCAACGCAACAACGTACACAACGTTACGAAAACAACAAGCCACACGCACACAACGCCTAGTGGCACCGTGGACGCCCGACACCGTGTAGATGTCGTTTTTCCTTACCCTGAACCCGGTGTTTTCATGTGGATATTCGGGATTTCTGGGGTGAGAATTGAAGAGCCCATGTGTTTTCATGTGGGTTGTTTTTTCTTTTCCAACTTTGGATTTTCATCCTTCCAGCGACAATCCAATCCAGGAGCCGTCCCAGGAGCTCCGATCCTCAGAATCCCAAGCACCCCAATGTCCTCACGGCAGCACATGGTTCCCGCATATCCCATCCCAAGAACTCAAACAAAAGCAAACAGCTTCCTCACTTCTCATCCCAACTATCCCAAACGGCCCACATGAAAACGCATTAGTTCCGCACCCTGACATCGCAAACCTTGTGGGGTCATTTGGATGTTTGGAAATTCTGGAATAATGAAGAAACCATTTTGAACGCCCGGCATGGATACGGAAACGATGGGTACAATGCCCAACAACAAATGTTGTCCCAAACCAACAGCGACCGCTGTTGGGCAGGCGGCTTCCTGTCTCAAATGGACACAGGCCGCGGCGGCGCGGACAGCACGCCCTGTTCAACATGAGCAGGACATGGAGTTGGGCATTGTGCCCACTCTTTCACTACTCCATCTCGATCGCCCTGGGCCATGTGTTGTCATTCGATTGTTGGGATGATTGAAATTATGGGGGAGCTCCTGACGGGCTCTTGGGCTGGGTTTTCGCTGGAGGGATGGAACTCCTCACTACGCCACGCCACGCCATGCTGTGACATACTACGCTTTGCGGTGCTCTTCTACGCCATGCCATGCCGTGCTCTACAATGCATCGCGTACCCTTTCGGGATCTGCTCGACATCCGACTGTGCGAGTAGAGGGGGGATCTACGCCATGGTAAGGGATGGGAGGGAGGGGTAGGATGTCAGATATGACGCGAGCGCACCTAGCTTGTCTTCCTCCTCCTCCTCCTCCTCCTCCTCCTTCTCCTCCTCCTCCTCCTTCTCCTCCTCCTCCTCCTCCTCCTCCCCCTCCCCTTCCCCATCCTCCTCCTTCTCCTCCTCGGCGGCGCCGCATCGGCCCCGAGCCCGCGGCGAACCCCCAGCGATCATGCAATGCGGGCAGGCGTAATGAGCGAAGCGGAATCATACGTGTAAAGGAATGCGTGGAGGATGACCCCCCGCTCTGGCGCGCGGCGCGCGCCAGGGGCAGCGCCACAGGCGCCGCTAGGGGGACCTGGCGCCGATCGAAGAGATCCGCACGGCGCTCCGAAAGTTCAACATCTGAGCATCTTCTTAGGGTGGAGGGCTCAGGGTGAAATCCACGTGGGCGTTTGCACCTCGAAATCCCATCCGTCTTGTGATTCGCCTTCTGCAGATTCAAGCCTCGAAGACCCATCGAAACGGCATTTCAGATTTCACCCTTTGCCCTCCACCCAGAGAAAATGCTCGGAACATTCTACATTTTAGATACGCAGATGTTCTTCTTCGTGACATGCTGAGGGTGGGGGTCGCTATGGGAAACCCGCCTCTCGAGCTGGCGGCTCGCCCCAGAGGCTACCCTTCGGCCTCCGCGATCTCGTCGGGCCGCGGAAGGTTGCCCCGCTCTCCGACGGCGACAAGGCGATTCCCGTGCGGAGAGGAGGGGTCCGGACGTAAACAGGTCTCGGGTACCCCGGGGGCCTCCCTTGGCATGAAGGACGCCCAGAGATCCACGACGACCCGATTTTGGAAGAAACATGAGAAATAGTCAGAGCATATTCCAAAGTAGCCAAAAATGGTCAAAAAATCGTCCCAGACTATTGTTTGACTATTTTTGAATCTTCTTCCTCTAGAGGTACAGGCCCGACTTAAAACAAGCTTCCTCCCTGGGACTCCAGGGTCGGGACCTCTGGGGCCGCGCAGTGACGCAAGAACCACGCCGTCGGATGTCTGGGAGTGGCGGCTGACAGAAACGGATGATGGACCGAGGGGCTTCTCCCAGGACGAGCTTCCCGCCCCGAACCGTTCGTTGACGGCCCTGGAGCCCGGGCAGTAGGAGCCCGAAGACGGCGAGAAACCTCAGGACCCGCTCCGAGGGGGGAACGACAGGGGAGGGGACAGGCTCAGGGGATGAAGCATCGACCTGGGGAATCAGCGAAACATCGCCGGTAGATCGGCGATAGGCCCCCGATAGCGAATCCGCACACTCCTCGGCGGGGTGGGACATCGGGCCCCTTCCAGTGATGAGTGGGCGATTGGGGGTCGATGCGTCCCCCCTCGGGCCTACCTCCCCCGAACATTGACGATGTTTTCCTTCATAACGACTCCCCGCAGGACTAGGTCTGTTCGGAAACGGGACCCGTGGGGGGGCAACACGATACCGACACCGATTCCGCTGCTCCCTGGCCCTCTAATGGGGTACGTTATGGCTAGAATTTCGAGGCTGATCCAGCCGTGGCGACTAGGACACTCGTGGACGAGCAGCGGTACTGGTATCTTTTCTTCATCTGAGCCTTCCGCCAATCCTCGCGCTTAACGTTTGGGGATGTTTGCTCAGCGTGTCGCGGCGGCGGCCCCGGCGACACGCACTCCACTGCAAGCGGATGGGCGTGTCGCTCTGCTCCGCGGGACGAGAGGCTCGGAACGCTGACGCTGGGGGGGGGAACGGTGAGTGGTTGGCGTGTGGCGCCGAGGCGTGGTGGGCCAGAACTGGCGGCGCGACACGCTAAGCCAAATTTCCCGACCGTAATCCATGTTTGCGCTTCCTGGATTGGCGGCGCGCATAAGGGGGTAGGGGGAGGGGGGGGATGCTCCTTAGAGAAGGAGGCTGCTTCTTAGCTGCAGACAAGGCCCGCGCCTTCTAAGAAGCAGGGGTGCTTCTAAGAAACCTTCCCCCCTCCCCCTACCACGAGATGCGGCGTTGCAAAAAGAGTGCAGCGTCGCAAAAATCCAGATCCGAGCCCCGGACCCGATCTTCCTGCGCCATTTTTCGAGCCGGATCGATCTGCGAGGGTCCCGCCCGAAGTGGAGTGAGAGCGCCCGCTGCGAAGAACTTGCAACGCCAGGATCTCAGGGTGCCCCATGTAGGCGGCGAGCCAGCTTGGCTGGAGCCTGGGCCCTCCATCCCCGAGGCTGCACCGCCCTGGCTGCTCCCTCGCCCTCGGGCGAGAGGCGCCGTGTCGGCTGGCGAAGGCCGGTCCCTCGCGAGCGCGTGCGTGCGCGCTGGGGGGGGGTTGGCCTTGCCGGTCTTGTACTGCGAGACCTCGCGGCCCCCTCCCCCGAGAAGGACGGCAAGTCGAGGATGAGTCCCACCATGGGGCGCACAAAGACATACTAGCAGCACCAGCACCAGATGTCCTCCTCGGAGGCGCGCGCCCGACCCGAACATTTTTCGTGTGCCCATCTTGCAGTAGGCCGTTTCCCCAGCGGTGTGGCCAGGAAGCGCCCGCCACGACGCATATGCTGTGAGATTTATCGGTGCGCGCGTCGCCCCTGGGGGGGCGACGCATAGTAACTTATCAGTATGTTGGGGTGCCACCGACACCAACGCTTTGGGCGTAGGTGGTTTCCCGAAGCCCAGCGAGGTCCCCCAGAGACAGGAAAATCGCCCAAACCGTCCGCCGTGATATTTTCGCAACGCGAGGAGGAGGCCTGGGCCTCTCCCGTCTCACCCAAGGGCGTCCACGGCGACAGCAAAATCGAGCACAGACCGAACCAAGCGAAACCGAAATCGACAGGCCGCAAGCAACCCGGAAGCAGCGACGCGGCAACGACACAATACCCGACAGGACAGAGCCGACAGAACGCAGCCGCCTGCGAGGCAGCCGAACGGAGCCAACCGAACTGCGTGCACCCACCTCTCCCCCTCCACCCGCTGGGTTTCGGTGAAAGGCCGTGCGGTGACGTCGGGACCCCCCAAGACCTCACCGCACGGTCCTTCACCGTACCGTACTTTTGAGACTTTGGAGGCCCCAGCAGCGCGAGACGTCCTCGGAGAACGAGCCGAATCCCCCCCACTGACTCACCACACCGGCCCTCCTCCGCATGCTTGGTTTCCGGGCCATGGCTCGGGTCTCCAGCGGCCGCTCGGGGCGATCCCTGCAGAACGCTCCCGGCGAGGCGCAGCCGCAAGCTGGAAAACCCGCGGGAACCGACGAACACGCCCGAAAACACAGAATTCAACCCCACGGTGTGCTCACCGAACCCAACTCCACGGTGTGCTAACCACACCGGTGGGGGCCCCCTGACCCTCGCCTCCTCTCGCTTGCAGGAGCCGGCGAACATGTCCGAAAACCCAGAACCAACCCCACGGTGTGTTCACCGCACCGTTTGGGAGCCTGGGGACCCTCGCCTGCCCCCACCCGCAGGGACCGACGAACACGTCCGAAAACCCAGAATCCAACCCCACGGTGTGCTCACCGCACCGCTTGGCGACCCCTGGACGCTCGCCTGCCCCCCTCTCGGAAGCTTGCGTCAATGGGGGGCAATCAAAACGCGTGAAGAAGCGCGTGCTTTTCGCGCGCCTTTTGGCCCGCGCGGGCCGTGTCTGGGGACCGTGCCCAGTCCCCGACGGCACGATTTTTCAAGAACGTCGGCCCCCGGAGGTCTCGACCCATTCCCCCTGAGTCGTTCTTTGATGATCCCGAGGGCCAGTCAGGGCCCCCAGAGGTGCAAAATAGCGAAACACCTCCCGTCGTGACTTTTTGCCCTGGCTCGAGGGCGGCTGGGTTCAGGGCCCCTCCAGGGCCCCTTTCCAGCAATCCTCGATCCCCCGTTGCCCTCTACCCGCTTGTCGCGCGTCGGCACGGGGCGGTCTTCGGCGATCTTCTGACTCTTTCCGGCGCGAAAGCCCAATCGTTAGGTCGGGCATGTCCCCCTACAGGCGGATTTTAGGTGAAGAATTGAACATATCCCAAAATACTCCATACTAGTCAAACAAATTGTAGAAACATCGTCCCCAGACTATTGAATGTTCCTCCTGTAGAGGGACACACCCGATTTAACCCAATCGTGGCGCTCCACAAAGGAGGGTCCATGATCGAACGCCCGAGGACGAGGAGGGGAAGAGGAGGCTTGTTCGCTCCCGACCTTCCCCCGCAGACCCCCCGCTCCCCGGGAGGGCCCCTTACCAGGCGCAGTGACAAGGGAGCCCCGTGAGCGCATGAGGGCGCGAACCCGCCATGGCGAGGGAGGAACCTCTTCCACAATGCGAGGAGGATGCCTGGACCCTCTCCCATCTCTCCCCCCTCCCGGGGAAATCAAAAGGCAATGATTCCCCTACTCCCAGGACCTCTCCTGGTGTGCGTTCTGACCAGGACCTCGCGGCGAATCCAACGGTGGCGACGAGGGCCTCCCAAGAAGCACTTAAAAGGGATAACGAGGCAACGGTAGCGGTATGGGTACCTTTCCCTCCTTTGACCTGCACCCCCCGTCTTCGAGTAGGGATTGACTGCAGAATTGACATATCCCAAACGTTGTTTTCCTTCGAATCGACGGAGACATGCGTAACATGCCCCGTAGATCTACAGACATTCTAAGACTTTAGGTTTTTCGTTCGAAGATGATGCCACGGGTGCAAATCAATCTTCGGGGGGATCGATTCTGTTGTCGATCCCCCACTGGGCGTCTCTCCCCCCTCCCCCCCCCCCGGATGCTGGGATGCCCCCGTCGCCAGCGTGCGCGGGCCCCTCCTTGCCCTCTCCTCCCCCCCCTACCTTCTGCTCCTCCCCTCCCCCGCTCCCACGCCTCTTCCCCCCCCCCCAAGGGATGCCCCCCATCGCCAGCTCGCGCGGACCCCTCCTCGGCCTCTCCTTCTCCCACCCCCCTTTGTTGTTCATTCCGCTGCTCCCCCCTAACGCCCACGCCCTCGCGCACCTTGTGGGTGGTATGCTTCTTGCACTTGCGGCAGTACCTCGCAGACAGAGGGCGGAGGGAACGAGGGAGAGCGGGAGGAGGGGGAGGAGGAGAAGGAGGAGGAGGAGGAGGAGGAGGAGGAGGAGGAGGAGGAGGAGGAGGAGGAGGATGGGGGAGGAGGAGGAAGATGATGAGAATGATGATGATGAGGAGGACGAGGAGGAGGAGGAGGAGGAGGAGGAGGAGGAGGAGGAGGAGGAGGAGGAGGAGGAGGAGGAGCACGGCGACCGTACCGAACGAGACCAGACCACCGCGCGGCAGCGGGTTCAGCAGCCCATGGCGGCCTTCGTTGCTGCATGACTTGTGTAAGACATGTCGGGGTGGCTGGAACACCCGCTCGCGCGTCAGACCCTTCGTTGAGTTTGTGACCAATGTGAGGTGCCACGACGACGATATGATGCAATCGGACACGTGAATATCCCCTTTCTGGGTCAGGGTCCATCCCAAGTCCGACGCGGGTGAACGGGGAAACGCGGAGGAGACCACGAGGGAGGGCAAAGAAGCGAATCACGCAAGGGTCGGGCTCGATGTGCACACCCAATAAAGCTAACCCGAAGAGTCATGGCTGCGATCCGGGCTCAGGTGGTCCACGCGCCAGCCAAGGTCTTGAGGTGGGCCCATGCCCATGCCCAGCGTGGCGGGGTTCTCACGAGAATCCTGCGGAGCGCGACCCCCCGCTTGCTGATCTCATCGGCAAGGAGCTGGGGGAAGAGGGGGCCAAGAGTAAATCCGACGACGAAGGAGGGGATGAATGAGGATTGAGGAAGAGAAGGACAATTTAAGCAATACGAGGAGCATGGGAACGAGGAGGGGGCAGTTGCAAAAAAAAAAATGAAAGACGAGGTGGGAGGACGATGAGGAAAAAAACGCGCGTAAAACGAGGAGGGGGGAGGGCGAGCAGGAGGAGAAGGACCAGTGCAAACCAAGACGCATCCACGATGTTGCAATTCCCCCCCCTCTCTCCAAGTGATGCCGTCGTAGGTCCCTACAAGAATGAAAGTTCACTGCAGGAAAGCGACCGTCTGCGAATCCCGAACCGCGCCAGCGCACCCATCCTGGGGACGTCAACGCCGACACCGTCTCAGAGCACTACTCCTGGGACAGCAACGCCGCGAAGCGACGTGACTGTGCCGAAGCATTCACTCCGAAACTGCGCGGCGCAGAAGCGGGAGGGCCGCATGTCCAACACGGCCGGCCCTCCACCCTTGAAGCTGCTGCGAGCTCTTGAAGCACCTATGCGCGGCGCTAAGGGGGCGAGAGCCCCGCGCTGCCAGCCACCCTCCCTCCATCCTTGAAGCTGCTCCCGGGCTTCGTGACATGGTGAGGAAATGCCAGAGCGAAACGGCCAGCCCGCCCTACCGACACGTCAGAGGGTCTTGCAGGACGGAGACCTGCTTAGGAGGGTTTAGGAGAAAGTAGGGACAAGGACGATAAGGAGCGGAGGCGAAGGGGCGACTGGGAGGACGGACGGCCCCATGGGGCCTTGGCAAACTCGACGTATCGGGGTCCCTGCACGGGCCGAGTTCGGCATTGAAGCCGCCTCGCGAAATCCACATATCGTGCGCTCTTCACCATGTGACACTTCTTCGTGAAACCGGTCGCGCGCCCGCGCGCAACGCGGGCCTGAACCCGGGGCGCAGCAGGCCACGAGAGAGAGGCCTCGATGCGCATCCTGTCGCGGGATGAAGAAAGACACGCGCCTCGCCCCCTTCCTGTCTTCCCACCACTCTGCTACTACCCCTCCCCTCCCTCCATTCTGCCGTGAATCGCTCACTCGGAGCAACTCCCACCTTGCCTCTGATGACAACTGTCCAAACTACTCCGTCATGAATGAGCTCTCTGGCTCCGTTTTCCAGGGAATCGAGATCCGATACCAATCAGAAGTCCCAACGTCTCATTCTCATGAGGGCGACAATCATGCGATATTCAAAGATTGCTCTGTTCCGCCTATGGCCCCGCATCTCCAAGCGTCCCAACTGCCACCCCGGAGGTGACGACATTCGCAGTGGCTCTCTCCCCGACGACGCTGGGAGGCCCTGCGGAGAAGAAGGAATCTGCGCATTGCCATCGAGCGCTTCTGGTTGCGCTTGCGTTTCCGCTTTGCCTTCCCGTGCGCTCTCCTGCGAGCGTATCTCGCTGTGTTCCTGTGTGCATCAGCTTCCGACTGCGTAGGATCCGTGGGAAAAGGCTCATCGTCTCAAGACCCTGCTAGGGATACAACGCCTGCTGCCGGGTCGCCTGGACCAGGGGCAGCCCCCAGCCTGCCCCCCGGATGGAGCCGAGAGGGAAAGGGCTGGAGCCCCAACCGCCCTCTCGAGCACTGGATCGGGGGAGGTTTGGGCATTCCCGCCCCCGCGCCAGACCGAAGAGGACCGAGAGGGAAACGTCCGAGGAAACCGAACCGCCGACACGTGCCTAGATGACCCGAGCCCTCCCTCCAGCATGGATCCGTAGGGGGCGCCCTCCGGAGGAGGGCATGGGTTAGCCGTGCCAACAGGCTCCACACTCACGACACACACACACACAAAAACAAGATTAACTCCAAGATCCAATTTGGCACGTTGCCCTTGATGCGGCCGTTCTGCATGTCCACCTGGGCGGAGGACGTGAAGGGAGAGAGAGGGGGCAACGCACCAGACGCTGAAGCTGCAGAACTTCTTGGAGGCCTATGCTCGAGCAGCAGATCGATCGCCTTCCATGCAGCGGGGTCCACCCCTGTGGTCCGCGTCGTGAGGTGCTGGTGCAACGCGAGAAGCACGCGCGGCCGAGGCGGGCCACTGCCGGGGTCCTTCCCCTCGGCCTTGCAGGCCTGAGTGTAAGCTCGGCATGCAGCACGTATCACTGCGATCAGCGGGGCAGGAGGCATCGGCGGCGAGCCCCTGCCATCTGACGAGACTGCTATGCCCCTGCGAGGCTATGTCTGCGGGCGCCTCGCACTGGGCAAGGGCCTGCCTGGGGCGCCCAGCAGGGGTGAGGAAAGAGGAGGATGAGAAGGCGGAGGAGGAAAGAGGCGGAGGGATGATGATGATGATGATGATGATGATGATGATGATGATGATGATGATGATGATGATGATGAGGATGAGGAGGAGGAGGAGGAGGAGGAGGAGGAGGAGGAGCGAGGAGAAGGAGGAAGACAATGAGGAGGAGGCAGGGAGGAGTACGTGTTCCGCGTCTTCGGGATGTTCACCATGGCTCCCCAAGGGCCCACCGTCGGGCCGCCTGCGCGAGCTCGGTCCGGGCCTCTCCGCAGCCGAGGGCGCGCGGAGCGCTGGGTTCCGCACACTCTTCGAGCAGCGGCGGCGCCGAAGAGGGATGCCGATGATGGAGATGATAAATGATGTTGATGCTGATGATGATGAGGATGTTGATGTTGATGATGTTGTTGTTGAGGGTGATGATGGTGATAGTGATGATGCTGCTGATGATACTGACGTTGATGCTGATGATGATGATTCGGCGATGGACAAACCTCCCTTTAGTAAACCTCCCATTATTGAAAACGACCTAAGGCCGAAATCGACGGACCTGGACCCGCAGAAATGACGGCCGCAACGCCCTCTCGCGAACCGAAAACGGCCAATTCCTTAATCGACGTGTCAGGGTAAGAGGTCTGTCCACCTCCGAATGATGATGCTGATGATGATGATGACGGTGATGATGATGCTGCTGGCGATATCGATAATGGGCGATGGTGGAGGATGGTGAGGAGGTTGAGGACGATGACGATGAATCTTGAGATGGCAATGGTGATGCTGTTGATTGGGATGCTGAGATTGATGGTGACGATCAACATTAAGATGAAACAGATGATGATGATGAAGACGACGATGATGCTGATGATGATGATGATGGTAATGAGGGTGATGATGATGGTGATGATGCTGATGATGCCGCTGATACTGATGACGATGATATCGATGACTGGGGATGGTCCAGGATGGTCATGAGGTTGACAATGGTGATGGTGACGATGACGCTTGTGATGACGATGATGATGGTGGTGATGATGCTGTTTACGAGGATACTGAGAATCATGGTGACGATCGATATCAAGACGAAGAAGATTGTGCCGAATCTGATGATGCTGATGCTGATGCTGATGATGCTGATGATGACGATGATAATGATGTTGGTGATGATAACGATGCTGATGATGAAGATGCTGCTGCTGGTGATGATGATATGTGGTGAAGTTGCTGATGCTGATGCTGATGCTGATGCTGATGCTGATGCTGCTGCTGCTGCTGATGATGATGATGATGATGATGGTGATGATGATGATGTTCGGGATTATGATGACGACGATGCTGCTGCTAATGGTGATGGTGTTTATAAGCACGTTGGTAAGCATGCCGATATCATGTTATGAATACTGGCGATGATGATGATGATGATGATGATGATGATGATGATGATGATGATGATGATGATGATGCTGATGTTAATGAAGATGATGGTGCTGATGCTAATGCTGGTGCTGATGATGACGATGATGATAGCGAAGATGGAGGGCTGGGAGGAGAAGCCCCAGGAGGCTCCAGGAAGCTCCGAAGAAAATCTACGAGGCCCCCAGAAAACTTCCAAGGGCACCAGACGACCGAAGAGTGCCCCAAGAAGCTCCCCGAAGCCTCATAAGGGTACAGGAGCCAGGGACGTCCAAGGTGGTCGCATAAGGTCACATCAAGCACCAGGAGTCCTCAGACGACCCCTAGAAGCCCAAAGAAGCACCAAGGAAACACAAGGAAACCAGAGGCAACAGAAGTCCCCAGGAAGCTAGAGCGGCCCCAGGAAGCCCGTCCAAACATCCCCGTGAGGCACAAGCGGGCTCCAGGTATCTACGAGGAGGCTCCGGGAAGCGCTAGGGAGCTCCGAGAAGGCCACAGAGGTAACAGGATAAGATCAATGCTCAACATATTCCTGCTGAACATACAATGGTTGAAAATCAAACCCCCCCTGCTTCGGACATGGCGAGTCAATATCCCAATGTTTCTCTCCCACCGCTTCCAGGCCCTCGTGCGGTTATCTTGCCCGCCGTGCTTCTTTCACGGAGGGCACTCCAACCCTGGTTTCAAGAGGCATCGTGGCCATGGGTGACTGGGCGGTCCATGTCACTCAGAATTTCCATCATGATTCACCTCCCAGATCATACCTCTGACAATCGGTTCCGAACATATTCTCATGAGGGCTCTATCCATCATGTAATATGATATATCGTACCGCTGTTGACGATACTCCGGGCCACCACTCGGATGCGATGCTCTTCGGTGCGAAACTCTGGGGATACACGTCAGCTGAGCTTTTCTAATTCCAAGATGTCGTGCCCATGTGAGAGCGGAAGGTTCATGAGTGAAGGGAGCGTTGGATGCGAAGGCAGAAGAGAATGAACAAACACCCACCTTGTTTTACAATGGGTCGTGACCATGAGGAGGACGGGAAATCCAGCCCACTTCTTCCCTGTTTGACACGATTCCCGATAACCGCTCGCACTTCACCATTGCTCTTACGATCGATCCTGAACCAACCGTTCAGACTCGACGGTTTTCGGTGCGAGCGCGCCGCTGGATGTTTTTTAGTCGCGGCGACAACGGGCGTTATAGGGGGGAGGCGGGGGCGTGGGGGGCACAACATAACGCCCCCCCCCACTCCCCGAAGTGGGTCTGGCACCAGATATTGTGGTGTCGGACGCACTGCGGCAATGCCGTGGACGCACTTGAGTGGGGGGGGAGCGTTACGTAATGGGGGGGAGGAGGGGCTTGACGTGCGTTATGGCCCAGAGGCTAACAACAACACTTCAACTATGAGTGCGAGTGAGGAGAGCGATGACGGCAGTGCTGACGAGACCGATGGGGTGATACGGACGGAGCTAAGCGAAAGGAAGGATAACATGTTCATACATATTCCTCGTGCAAGAGCGATGGAACCGTGCCTCCGAAGCCACGACCCCTTCTGGAGATGCACTGGATCGGGGCCCTCGGAGCTTGAGGAAGGCTTGCAGAGACTTCCGAGGAGGGGGCTGGGGACGGCAGGGTGTATTGCAGCATCGATGATGCAACTTGGGCTTGCTCCTCCCCTCCTCCTCCTCCTCCTCCACCTCCTCCTCCTCCACCTCCTCCTCCTCCTCCACCTCCACCTCAAACTCCACCTCCACCGTCACCTCCACCTCCTCCTCCGCCTCCTCCTCTTCCACCTCCACCTCCACCTGCACCTCCACCTCCTCCTCCTCCTCCTCCTCCTCCTCGTGTGGGCACGGGCGGCCGACGCAGGCGGCGGCGGGCGCTGCTTGCGGCCACGGCTTTCTGCTTGATCTCGTCCACCTCCCTGACGAAGGCCTGTCGCTGCGACGGGCGCTCTCCTCTCGTCTCTGGCCTGTCGTCTTCTTCTCGATCTTCCTCCCCCTTGGGGAACAAGCACACAGTGGAGGCCAGTCCACAAGAAAACCTTCCACAAGAAACCTAACCCTGAGACCCCAGGACGTCCATTGATTTTTGGTGTGGGAATGTCACGTTTTCCATTGCAGAACCATGGAAACCCATGAAACCCAGGGCACCCTGGAGGCGAGCAAGGTGTTTCTTGGCATGGGCCTCCACTGCATCACCGATCTGCAAAGATACTGACACCGGAACTCCCCCCGACTTCTCCTGGGGTGTGCTCAGGCACAAGTTTCGAGGCGAATCCAGCCGTGGCGACGAGGGAACAGCAGCGGTATCCATATCGGTTCTTTCTTGCCAGAGACCCCACACGACTTGTTTCTTTCATAACTCAGACCCCCCGAAGTCTCCACCCCTTCCCCACGACGGGTTTGTCATCCTGAACCGTGTCTTGACGGCCCCAAGGGCCATGCAAGGACCCCGAAGCCGAAGTACTAGTTGGAAACATTATGTGACATGTGCCCCTTGGAATGACAGCGCTATGCTCTCGCCGGTGTTTGAATCGTGGGGTGGACAGGAGTACCCTGTAGCAGCGAAAGCGACCTTGGATCAGACCTGGCGGGTGCATGCCAGCAAAAGCTGCGGCCGCAACGCTGATCGATTTGGCAGGGTAGGGGTCCTAGCAACCTCCGCAAGGATGAGGCTATTGTCGGCCACACGTTAACATGGATTCCAGATCCGTGGATCTGGCGCGTGGGCGCCAGATTGACGGATCGGGAAAATATACTTCCCGACCCGAAGCGTGAGGCTAGCGCCGTCCGATGTTTGGCGACGGAGCGCGTCGCTTTTGCATGGAAGCGCGACCCGTCGCTGATCCACGCGCCCTGACGCATGTCCACGCTTCCTCGACAGACCCCAAGCGTCGAGATTATTTCGCACCCTGGGCCTCCTCGAAATCTCGACCCCTTCCCCTGCACGGCTCCCCGTCCTGGGTCGTTCTGTTGACAGGCCACCCGGGCCCTGCGGAGGCCCCGTGTTTGCGAGCCCTCGATGTTGGAGAGCACGCTGGGCTTGGCCCCGCTTTCGACCGGCTGCAAGCCCGCGTGCGCTCAGAACTGATTCTCGGGCAAACTGCGGCAACACCAACAACAAGCTGCAACAAGAATACTATATGTCCAATGCCCCGCCGTGCTCTTGAAACACCCGCACGGGCCGCCAGAGCTGGAGGAGCGGCAAGATGGGCGGATCACAGGGTACCGATGTCGCTACCACCCAGGCCTGCCTGGGGCTGCGTTCTGACCAAGTTCCGAAGCGAATCCAGTCGTGGCGACGAGGGCCTCCCAGGAACGAGGGCCTCCCAAGAGACCTGGAAAGGCGAAGACGAAGCAATGGTAATTAGCGGTATCGGTACCTCTCAATTTTCGGACACGAGGGGGGGAGGAGGCTACTGGGCAGGCAGCCTTCGAGAGGGTAAAACTGTTGGAGAACACGTTGGGCTTGACCCACCGCCGTGATTCGGAGCAGGGCGAGTTGAGACAACGGCGGATCAAATTCAGTCCCTACAGGGAGGGCGGAGGGAGGAGGAGGAGGAGGAGGAGGAGGAGGAGGAGGAGGAGGAGGAGGAGGAGGAGGAGGAGGAGGAGGAGGGGGAGGAGGCCGAGGATGAGGAGGAGGAGGGGAGGAGACCCCTCCCGCGGGCCACACGCACCAGTTTTCCGGGCTGCGTCCACCCCTGGCGACATGGGGACCACCCCGAAAGCCAGCTACCATTGCCAAAACTCGCCCTCCTCTTCGTGACTACTTCGCATCTGTGTCCACCGATGTATATTTCCTCGATCTCAAACCATAGATGCCATGCCTCTTTCATGATGTGGAATCCTGAAGTCTCGACCCATTCCCCGGGACTGTTTTTTCATCCCGAGTCTTGTTCGGAAGGTCCCAAAGCCTGGTAAGGACCCATAAAAAGGCCGAACACTCATGATCTTCATGATTTTCTTCACGACGCGACGAGGTCTGGAATATTGGAGAACACCTGTTTCGCCGGCGGCGAGGCAGGGGCGGTCCGCTCCAGCGTGTGGCAAGTCGGGGCAACCGAATGGCAAATTGGCCGGCGTGCAAGAGAGGGACAGGGAGACAGGCAGGGCGGCCGCGAAGGGCAGGGGGAGGCGGAGGGCACGTTGGGCCTGGAGAGCCAAGCGTCGAATCGATCGGTAGAATCGGCCATCGAAACGAATCGGATCGGCGGACATCGGCAGCCGAGTCGGGAGAAATCGAATTGGCGGGGGTCGGCAGGCTAGCGAAGCCTCACTGGGAAACCCAAGTCCAAGTCGGCAAATCCAGATCGGAATCCCAAACCGAGTCCAATCGGAATCGGTGTCGATCGAAATCGAATCGAAGCGTGTCAGGGGAATCGAAATGACTCAAGTTCGTGGGACTCGGTTTGGCTTGGCGAGGCCGTGAGAAAATGCAAATCTTTAATCGCGAGCTCAGAGGCCTCTTTTAAATGGGGTCAGAGTAAATGGGGTCGGAGGATCGCACCGCATCGCCGATACATCGGCGATGCATCGGCGATGCATCGGTGATGCACCAGCGACGTCGGTGCATGCATCGGCGACGTCGGCGATGCATCGGCGACGTCGGCGTAAAGCAAATCGGGCCCCACATCGAGCCGCATCGGCGATGCGGCGCGATCCTCCGACCCCGTCTACTCCGACCCCATCTGGGAGGCCTAGAGTGATCCCGCTGCAAAAGGCCAACGGAAACTGGACCCTCAGTCCAGGACGGGCCCGTCAAAAACCA